AGAGAGAGAGAGAGATCCAATGTAACTTCGTTTATCCTTGTTTTGGTTTCAACAACTCCATTAATCTTTCATTTACATGCAATAAGTGAAAACTTCCTAATGAAAATTAATGTCATACCAATCCAGATTATATATAACATTCTCAGGTGAATTTATCAAGTCATGATGAAGCTCCTCTTAAAGTCCAAATATTACATCCTAATATAAATCCAGCCTAATGAATCTATCATGTGAGTAAATTGGAGTCACTAAGATTTGCAGGGTATAATCCAGGAGTATGTTTGGAAGAATAAATAATATTCAATAAAATTTTCCCTATAGTCGACCTCGCAGTTAAAAAAATAAAAAAAATTCAATAAATTAGCTAATTTTTTTTCCAATAAGTTGTGCATTAAGACAGATTAAAATGACAAAAAGAAAATTTATACAATATTCTGTTTATCAAGATGATTAATTTTTCTAGATGTTTTGCATCCCTCCATTTGAACCTCAAACACAAAACTCAGTGCATTTTTTTATGCAAAATATGGATTATGCTATGATTCACAATCCATTCAGTCTTTGGACATTATTGGTCTTTTATTTCTTAGTTTATTAATGTTACGTTATGTATTGTAGAGATTCTGGATTTTTTAATCAGATCTTTTATCCATGGCCTTTTTTTTTACCCCACAATCAGAAACTTAATTCCATCTTGAAATAATATATTTATTTTTTTCGCGACATCTGTCAAGGAGACCCATGTTTCATGTGGTGGTAGTAGAAATGTTGTCCTTGTATGTGTATATATTATTTATTTATTTATTCTCTACTCAGCAAGCGAAGAATCAACAAGTCTTGCATCGTTTTGTATATTGCTAGCAAGGCTAAGCACCATGTTGTAAGGCCTCTCAGTCATTTTCCAGGTTGAAGTCATAGGAGAGATTTGAGCAAAAGAAGATTCTATATGATCGAGACATTCTGTGAGAGAGAATTATGTAGATCTTATGATTGACTATTTATCACATGTACACTGAGGTTGTAACTTCAAATCCATCCGAGTAGTCCATGGATATATCTGCACCAAAGAATTAATGCAGTAGCTAAGCTTGTAAGGATAATTATTGTTCATGTGTGCTTGACATTATTTTTCTCGGTAATAATAATATATGTAAATACATATATGTGTGAAATTGGTGATTAGGGTATGTCTTGGTCCCAAAATGGGTGAAAGGAATGGCCTACGAACTGCAGTCGGTGGACCGATTCCTTGTGCCCACGTAAGGACAAGCTTTGCCTGCGTTGGACCCCTATCCGCTGTACAACACTCATCAACCCCTCTCTCTCTCTGGAATTTAAACATTTTGTAGGCATTCGTTTTCTGTGGTGCAAAGGATCGAGGAAATAAAAGAGGGAAGAGGATAGGAAACCTCAGCAGTGTGGAAGAAGGGAGAAGGAAAAGCATGACAAGGAAGTGAAAGATATGGCACAACCACCACCACCGTTAGCCTCCACCCTTCTGTACGCAGCTGACAGCATGTAGAGGAGTAATAGAAGGTATTTGATTTGGAGACACTTCTTCTCCTTTTCTTTTTTCTTTCTTCACCTCTTTTGTTGTGACACCCTAACTTTATTTGTTCCTTCCCTCTCTACCAGTACTGAGCGCAACTGTTTGTTCTGATTTCCAGCTCTCCTTGTTCTTTTGTGATAATCCAGCAAGAGAGATTCGGAGGGTTTTCTTGAGGTCTGTCTGCAGGGTGCTTCAGATCGATATCCTTGTCTTACAATTTTGGTTCTTTTCTTCTCCCAGAGATCGAGAGGAGGGGGGGAGAGGGCATGGTTGCATGTTGGGTAGTGGGAACTTTTGTTTTGGTCGGAGTTGGACTATCCGCTAAAATTGGCAGAAGCCAAACCAAAGGCATGAGGTGAGCAAGAAGAAACAAGAGGAAGAGCACCATCAACAGCAAGTAAAAAGGGGGGGTGTTGCTGCTGGTGATTTAATTGTTGTTATTTTAGCTTGTTTTATGAGTTGAGATGGCATCAGCTTCTTCGTCGTCGCCCTTCTTTGGAGTCAGAGAGGACGAGCATCACACCCAGGTGATGCAACAACAGTCCTCTTCAGCACCGCCACCACAAGCCGCAGCGCCGGTGAAGAAGAGGCGGAGCCTTCCCGGAAATCCATGCAAGTACCTAACATGCTTGTTACACAAATCATGCATGATATGTGATTCACAAAGGCGGATGAGCCAACCCCTCCCAATTTTGTGCTTCGGATGCCTTGTGGATCCTAAAAATTTCATCTGGTCAAAGAAATTCTTGGAAACCCTAATTCAGTATTCTGGTTTTCGCTTGATCCGTGAATTGGGGATTCCAACTCTTCTCTATATATGTTTCTTGTTTCTTTGCATCTCCTTCTTCATAATTATGCTCACCGAATTGGGGGTTCTTCGGCTTCAGACATGTGTTTCCATCTATTTTCTACCCGATGTACTCTGCATGAAATGAATTCTTCTCCTCTCATCTCGGCTTCCTTCTAGTTTTGTTTTCTGATTTTACTGTAATCAGCTCAAAAATCACATGAACTGCTGTTTTCTGTCAGGTCTCCTCCTCTTCCGCTTGTATCCGTAACAATGGTTTCCTCCTCTTTGAACGTCTTCAGATTTATGTAGATCTTCGATCCTCATCAAACCTTGTGCATGTGTAATGCATTATTCTATCAACATGCATCTGATTGATTAATCATAACCACGACCAAATCCACGTGCTCTAGCAGATCCGGATGCGGAAGTTATCGCGCTCTCTCCGAGGACGCTGCTGGCGACCAACCGCTTCATCTGCGAGGTCTGCAACAAGGGGTTCCAGCGGGAGCAGAACCTGCAGCTGCACCGCCGCGGCCACAACCTGCCGTGGAAGCTCCGCCAGAAGACCACCAAGGAGGTGCGTCGCCGAGTGTACCTGTGCCCGGAGCCGACGTGCGTCCACCACGAGCCCTCTCGCGCCCTCGGCGACCTCACCGGCGTCAAGAAGCACTTCTGCCGCAAGCATGGCGAGAAGAAGTGGAAGTGCGACAAGTGCTCCAAGCGCTACGCCGTCCAGTCCGACCTGAAGGCCCATTCCAAGATATGCGGCACTCGGGAGTACCGCTGCGACTGCGGCACCCTCTTCTCGAGGTTAGTATCTGGTAATGGATCAGATCAGATCAGATCCATTTATCTCAATGATAATACATCCGTTTCCACGATATCACGCGTCGCATGGATTCATCACCATGCCATCATTCAAACTATATCATCATAGATTTCTGTTCTTGATTTTGATACGTGTCAGATAGGTCATCTTGGTTTTGGTGACGACCGCGGGCGCTCTTTGTTGTTCCACCCATTTCTTTCCCTTTCTTTTCTGTTGGGAGCTTTGTTTTGTTGTACAGATGTTAGGGTTCCTTAGGGTTATAATTGGGTTCGCAAGAGAAAGAGAGAGAGAGAGAGAGAGAGGGAGGGAGAGTGTGGTTCGTGATGGGAAACGGCTGTAAGAAGCTGCTCCTGCTCCCACGTGAATTGGTCTATGGTACCGCAAAGGTCATGGAGTTTCAACTCAGGAAAAGGTCTACTTTCTTCCTCTCGCTGGGAATCAATGTCACCCTTCTGTTCTCCTTTTATTCTCTCTCCTATTCACATGATGCCATACTGTCAGCTTGCAGGTTTTGTTCTCTAGTCTACTTGGCCAGATATGGGCAGGTCTTTTAATTCAAATCTTTTCAAGGGGTGATATTAGCAAGGCTTCAAACTTGGAAGAATTAAAGTTAGTCGCTCTCCATGATAACATAGCAACAATTCCTCCCATCTCTCTCGGGTCATTAATTGGAAGTTGGAGTTGCATTTGACTTCATTTAAGTGAAATCTTTAAATGGGTTGAAGAGCAGATGGGATTGCAACCAGGGGTTCATTGATTGTAATTTGTTTGTCTACCACATCTGGGGTGAATAAGAGGCTGGTTGGGCGGCTTAGTGGGGAGTCCCAGATTTGTGGGCGTGGCTTTCGTGGTTTTGATACAAGAAGAGTTCGTAGGGGTCATGTCGAGTTCCTTGCAAAACAATTCCTCTCTCATTGCATTAACTCAAGTCCAAGATGGGTGCTTTCTTCTCTTCCCTTTTGAGTTCCCTCTATGGAGAGTCAATGGGTTGGTTCTGCAACTTGGCTTCTCCAGTAATTTGGCTGCCTTGGGTCATATCTATTCTTTCTCTTGAAGTTGAATACGATCTTTGAAGAGTATTCATTAGTTGGGACACTTAAAACTGAGGCTATGAAATCATGTGAAAACTGTAGGCATTTTCTTGCTCTAAGTAAACATTTATGTTGACTAGGACATGCAACTCTTAGAACTCAGTAAATTCTTGTAGGAAATGAGCTAAAAGTAATCAGCATCCTTCATTAATCTGTTCTTCTCACTTGAGCAGGCGTGACAGTTTCATCACCCACCGAGCATTCTGTGACGCCCTAGTGCAGGAGGGTGCGAGGCTTCCGACCGCCCTGAACACTCTCGGCGGCCACTTGTATGGAAACAGCAACATGGTTTTGGGATCAGCTCAAGTGAGTCCACAGATCACGTCGTTGCATGACCAAAGTCGCCCCTCCACTGACCTCCTTCACCTCGGCCGAGCGGGTTCGTCTCAATTCGAACACCTTATCGCTCCATCCAAACCTTTGTCCTTCGGCGCACCTCAGCCCCCTCCTTACTCCTCCCCGTTCTACCTCGGCGGCGGCGGCTCCGACAAAGGCATCAATGGGGACACCCCGTCGCACCACTCCTTGCTTCAGAGTAAGAACTTCCACGGTCTAATGCAACTTCCTGACCTGCAAGGCAATACCACTGGCTCTTCCTCGTCCTCTGCTGCAGCAGCTGCCGGTCTCTTCAACCTGGGCTTCTTCTCCAACGACAGCAACACATGCAGCAACGCCATGAATAAGAACGTCCAGCCGATGCCCGGGGATCAAATTTACGATTCCAATAGAAGCACTGAGCAATCGACGCTCTTTGCCGGAAACCTTGTGGACGAACACATGGCTGGAGGAATAGCTTCTCGCTACAGCACCTTGATTAAGAATGAACCAGTGATGCTCCCCCAGCAGCTGTCAGCCACAGCGTTGCTCCAAAAGGCAGCTCAAATCGGTGCAACATCCAGCGGGGGTTCTTCTTTACTTGGAGGCTTCGGTAGCTCTGCGTCTCCGGGTAAGACAGCGAACTACAGTGCCAGCTTTAGCGGCAGCCATAGCAGTGTTGGAGATGGATTTCGATCTCCAATGGAAAACGAGACTCAGATTCAGCACCTAATGAACTCACTTGCCAGTGGAGGCATGAATGGCCTATTTGGAAGCTCCACGGGGATGGCAGCATTCGAGGGCAGTTGCACCACCGCCGGGGGGCGCCATGTACAAGAGAACACAGGGTTTGGCAGATTCAATGGAAACATGCGTAACATGAACGAGGGTAAGTATAATCTCTCGAGCACCGGAAACCTTGGAGGCTCCGACGGGCTCACCAGGGACTTCCTCGGGGTTGGTAGCATGGTGAGGAGCATGGGGCCCGGGATCTCTCAGAGAGAGCAACATCACGGCATTAATATGAGCCCCTTGGATCCCGATATGAGGTCGGGATCCTCGAGCCGATACTTCGCCGGTGGGAGCTTGCAGTAGAGAGGAAGGCAACAAAAACAAAAGGAAAGATACGAAAGGAAAGAGAAGAGAAGCACAAGTTAATGAGTAGGTAGGTGACTCAACATGATGAACAATGTGCAAATACAGATGTGAGTTATTCTATGTTGAAGTTTTATTAGCATGATAGGATATGTCAAACCTCGTTGCATGTCTCTGGTCTCTTTACTTCATAGCACTAGACTTCTCATGCGTTGCTGGAAAACCTTCTTTCCTTTCTAACTTGTGGTGTGCCATATCTCTTGCATTTTTCTCTTGTAGTGAACACCTCCTTTCTATTTAAGTTCCTCTGGTAGTTGGCTTTGGGTGTTGCTGAGAAAGAGGCATGAAGCGAGTAAATCTTCTTGTCATCTGTAGTAGATATGCATCTTGGTGTTCAGAGAGCAGAGACGTACACTTGTTTCTGGCCTGCTCTTCGCACAGTGGGCATCTGTTTTAGTGTTTCCTTGTCGTTCCCCGTGTCCTCTCTGCATGCACGTACCGCGTTGCACAGTAGGGAGGAGGAGAGACAGAGAGAGAGAACAAGAAAAAGGAGACAAGGGTTTGGTAAATCTATCTTTCAGCGTGCGGGGAATGTCATTAAGTTTTCTACTCTTAGATTCCATTGTGAGCTATCATCGGATTTGGACGTACTGATGAAAACTGCTTGATTCCGAGACCCCACTTGTTGAATCATGCACTGGCACTGTCACTTTGACCACTTACCCAAACCAAACTCACTACCCTGATATGTTTCTTTCTCCATTGTTCCCTCAATTCTCTCACCTCTCTCTTGAAAATTTCCGAGATCGTCATTGTTCTACATCCATTTCTCCATCATGCATAGTGCTGCATGACTGATGCTCTCTTTTGAAGGTTTAAGACGTTGTCTAACCACGAAGAACATGCAGTACCTCTATAAGTTCACATGATGAACAGTAGATGTTGCACTGCAGTCAAATTCCGTAAATGTTTCATGTAGCCGGCATCACAGCAATAGGTATTTGATAGATATCCAGGGCTTCGTCCTCTGCTGCTTACCATAGTACTTCTTTGCTCCGGAAAACAATAGCTAGATTTATCTTGGTGGAATTCTTTTTACCTCTTCCAAAATTTACTGAATATTCTGGATAGTATTTAGCCGGGCCATGATTTCCGGCCCAAGCGGGCTGGACCGGATCGGCCTAAAGGTCCAAGATGAACCCGGCTCATTTTTAGGGTAAAGCAACGTTAGTTCCGCGATTATGAAACGAGAGAGAGAGAGAGATGGTGATGGGGGAGAGGCACTGAAGCTGGGCTCCCCCGAGCATGATTGCAGAAGATCCGCGAGCTCGAGGAGAATAAGAAGGCGGTGCGGCAGCGCCAGCGCGAGGGCGCCGCCATCCCCCTCACGCCTTCCTCGGCCGACGATCGATCCCCTTCCCCTTTTGTTTCCTTGCCTGATGGTTAGTTAGACTTCTTCTTCTCAAATCCCCCCTTCCCCCTTTTTTTTGTTGTCTCTGCTATTACCGATTGAAATGCATCCCTCTTTCGCAGATTTCGCTACCATTAGATACATCGAAAGATTTGATCGTTTTGAGGTTTTCATTACGTTCCGAAACAAATTTTTTTTTTTCTTAATAATTTTTAATTTTAAAGAAAAGATATTTTAATTAAGAAACAATTTAAAGAATCAAAAGTACATGTTTTTGGCTTCAACTAATTTGAGACTCATACTCTAATTAGTTTCATCCAAAGATACATCATCTATGATAGATGATAGTTTGCTCCACATCTACTGTTGACATTGGAGCTGCTAATAATAATTAAAATTAGAATAGTTGTTGGATGATGCATCTACCATTCAAGAATTGAATATGCCTGATGGGTCCTCTCTGATATACCTAGTAATATATATACCCGGTGGATCCTCTCCCTGTTCGCTCCCACGACAAGTCAAAACTCTGCCCCATGATCGCTCTCCTTTCCCTGTCGCAGAACATTGATTACTCTGCTCGCAACATTGATTACTCTGCTCGGTTTCCATATTTGTGCAGAACCGGATATTCTCTTTTCAAAGAATTTAGATTCTTATATTTTATTTTTAAAATAAATTAGATTAGATAAAATTTTAGAGATAAAGGACTCTTGATTTAAATTATTATTTTATACTTATAAACACATAAATCTATATATCCGTCTCAAAATTAGCTATGAATCCAATTTGTTGTGTAAAGCATATTGAAATTGAACATCATTTCATTAGGAATAAGATGTTTTAAGAAATCATTGAGATCAAGGATATCAAGAGTAAAGATAATGTAGATGCCATCTAATAGAGAAGTCATCGTCTATCTTATTTAGATAATCATTGAGGTCATGAAGTATTATCTTTTGGAAGATTTTAGATTCTTTTATTTTATCTTTTTAAAAATTTAATTAGATGGAGTTTTAGAGATAAGGGTCTCTTCGTTTAAATCATGGTTTGCAGTACCGGTCCGTACTGCCCGGTATCGGGCGGTACGTACCGATCCGACAGACTTCCGGTACGCGGACCGCCTGTTACCGGTCCGGTACTGTAGCATTGTAGCACTGCTACAATGCTCGGCACGCCTGAATATATCGCTCGGTACACCTGGGTGTACTGAGCGGTATACCATACCGTACCGGTACCGAGCCCAGGTCGAAACTCCGGTACGATACGGTATTGCGAACCTTGGTTTAAATTATAATTTTATACCTATAAATAGATGGCCTCTATATATTACTAAATATACTTTTGGAGATAAGTCACGGTTTGCTTCGAAGATCTTCAAATGGTCATTTGGAGAGCGATTTGGTAAAGATGTTTGTAATATTATCTTTGCTCTTGATATGATCAGACTCATTAGGACACCTTTTTTTTTGGGATAAAATGATATTCAATTTTAATATACTTAGTTCTTATATGATAAATTAGATTTGTAGTTAAAACACTTTGATTGTCACACTACAAAATAGTTAATTTATTAATTTGATGACAAACATCCTTGATTAAACACCTTAATCATATACGGTTTTGAGCAACAAATAAAGAAGTTTTACATTATGCTTTGATCGTAGAAAAAGAGATCGATTATTATCTTTTACTAGACCATGAGATATAAGCAGAACCATATAGAAAGATATAGTCATCTTATAGAATAATCTCAAATTAATGGTAGAATTCATATATTTTAAAATTCTCGTATCAACATTGGCTTCCTTAGAGATTGCATAAGATAACTTACAAAACCAATTGAAAATATAATATATGATCTTATAATTGTTAAATAGATAAGATTATAAAAAAATAAAATAAAAAATCGAGGGTAAGAAAAAACCTTACCATCTTTACAACTAAGCTTTATATTTGCATTAAGTTGAGTAGAAACCTTTTTACTTTTGGTAATTCTAAATCTTTCAAAAAAAAATTTGCATAATTTGTTTGAGGGATAAATATATATTATTTTGTATTCATCACCTCTATACTAGGGAGAATATTAAGCTCTCTAATATTTTCATTTCAAACTAGAGGGAAAGATTATTATGAAGCTTTGAAATATCTATTTCGTTATTACTGATGATGATCATATTATCCACATGTAGAAGAACGATAAGATGCAAGTTTCCTTGCTTTTTAATAAATAAGTTAAGATTTGAATAAGAAGATTAACAACCACAAAAATATAAGTATTGAGAAATTTCTTTATATCATGCTCTAGGAATTTGCTTTAACTCATAGAGGGTTTTCTTGAGCTTGCAACCATAATTTAGTTTGAAAATAAAAATATATCCCGATAGTTGTTTGATATAAATGTTTTTGTCAATTTCATAATATAGGAAAATATTTTTCACAATTAATTGTCAAAGCTTCCTTCTAAACTTAGTTGCTAGAGCAATTACCATCCTGATAGATGTCATCATTGTTATAGGACTAAAAGTTTTCTCATAATATTCTTTATATTTTTGAGAAAATGTTCTTGCAACAAGTCTTACCTTATAGCAATCTATACTTCTATCTGACTTATGTTTTACCTTATAGACCCATTTGCATGTAATTAAATTTATATTTGTAGGCCTTGACATAATATCTTAATGTTCATTTTTAAGAAGACTCTTTATTTCTTCATTCATAGCATCTTCTCACTCCTTCTTTGACTTCATCAAAACAAGGAGGCTTAATATCACTAATTGATTCAAGAAAAAAACAATGACATGCTTATGTTGTCTCCATCTCTATAACATGCTGGTTTGATAATTGTTATTTTTATCTTCTTAATGTTGGAATTTTCTCTTTATGAACATCATAACTCTTATCATTTTGCTCTACGGTTGGTGATGAAAAAATAATAGAAGTAGATACATATAATGAAAATGAGCCAAAATCTATAAGAGCACTAGATAACAAAGAAAACTCAACCACATGTTTTGAACATATATCACTTTCACTATTGTGATGATATTTTTAAAAGAAATTACATGTAGAGGTTAATAAGAGGAATTTTCTCAAACACAATAACTCGAGATATCACATACCTATGTATTTGTGGATCTATGTATTTTCAACATTTTTTCCTTTCATTATAGCCAATAAATATATATTTCTTAGCCTTAGCATCAAGATTGTTTCTCTTAGAGTATGACATGTGAACATAGCATGGAGGACCAAATACTTTGAAATGTTTAACATTTAGTTTTTTACCAAGCCTGAGCTGAGGTGAAAATTTCAGATTGATTAGAGTAAGAGGAATTCGATTAATAACATAGGTTGTGCATATCATACTTTCTACCCATAAGGCTTTGGGTAAATTTTTTGTATGAAACCAGTTATAAGTCTCCACAAGATATCAAATCTTTTATTCTACCACTTCATTTTATTATGGTATATTTACACATATGGGTATCGATGTGTAACCTTTTAATTTTTGTTTTAAGAACACTTTTAACTATTAACCTAAACTTTTAAAAATTAAAAAAAAAACCTTTGATTTTTTCTTCAAGACCCAAGTAAAACTTATAAAATCATTAATAAAGAAAAATATATAAATAGAACATGAATAAGATGCACTTTGAGTATGATCCATTAGATCATTATGAATAAGCTCTAAGAGAAATTTATACCTTGAAAGTGATATATCAGAATGTTATTTGTATGCTTTGCCATATTAATAACCTCCATAAATTTTATTACTACTAAAAGTAATAAGATTAGGAAGATCAACTTAACATTTCTATATCATAGTCTTTAATTTAAGAAAATTTATATGACCAAGTCTAGTATGTCAGCACCATCATTTGTACTCA